CAAATAACGCAAGTAGTTAATATTTATACCATTTCCGGAATGAATTTCTCAATAATATCGAGTTCCTCTTCAAGTATACATCTAAATTCACTATCTGCTGGTTGCATACACAATCGACATATTTTTTGATCGTACGAAACATCAGTTAACTGTTCGCTTGCCTTTTCTTTCATATAAACTTCTCTTAAATCTAGCTGTAACATTTTCTCGCAATCCATATACGAAATAATTGTGTTATCAGTATTCCCACACATTGTTTTAAATTCTAACGCTGCATTCAGTTTTCCTCTACAAGCATTACATATTACTTTGCTTCCGTCACCAAATTTCTGAAATATATACAACTTTAGCTAAGCCCAAAGGAAATAATAGTGAAATAAATTTACAATGAAGTAAGAATGTAAATTTATTATTGCAAGTTGCTTTACAGGCGTTAAGAGTAGTGCTTTAGCTGTTTCACCGACTTACTATTTTCAGCAAAAAAACATCTAGAATATCTCTCGTAGCATCGTCTATTACTTCGAAGCTTTCTTCTGTTATATTTTTAAGGCAAAGCCTACACGAAGTTTCCTTAAAATCACTCGGATTCATTGCAGTAATATTCTCTAGCGGGCGACTCATAACCTCAATTAAACATCGACAAAACTAGACAGCAGAAGAAATTGTTCAAAACAAAAGAAAAACTGTTGGTAACTATGGTAATATGTGGTAATATCCTTGACAGTTGTTCAGCAAGCGGTGCCAACTGTTTGAATAAAACGGACTAACCAAAAACGGCGGTAAGTTCAATATACTACGTAATTCATTTTTAATTTATTTAAATATTTAATAAAATTATTCAGTTTTGTATTTATTTGTACGTTTTTTGGTATGTAATACACTTTAATTGCTCTGCAAGTGTAAGAGGCTGTATATTTTTGATATGGAGAACTGTAACTTGTCTAAAAGGCATCGTTTAGTGCCGCATTGCAAAAATTGCACACGAGAATAATCACATTACCTGATAGCCACACAGGCCCGGATCCAGAGACTGGTTTTGGGGGTGGCGCAAAGCACATCTTTCAGAGGAGCTTGACTCTAATGAATCCTTCTACTTGCATTAATATCGACTAACTGCCTGTTGTCGTTTGGAGAAATTGAAGATCTTTAAGAAATGTTGTGCTTTGGGGGTGGCGATCGCCACATCGCCACTCCCTCTGGATCCGAGCCTGTAGCCACAACAATCAAGATCTTGTTTTCATCGCCTTCTGAACTCAAAGTTTTAAACCGAAACGTACACACATGCAAATAATGCCATTTTTCTCAAGAATGGCTTTCGGTATTTGTTGAAAATATACTTGAAAATCGACGAATTCAAACAAACTTAATACCTAGAAATATGAATTTATTTTTAATAAGTGCTTGTACAAACTTTAAAGGGTGAATCTTTGACTAATTTTAAGATAAAAAGTTTACATGAACATGGGTCTGCTTGATTCTTGAGATACAGAGCATCCAAAAAAAATTTTTGTTTGGTATTTTGATTATATTTATGTTCAATATGACAATTTGACTAAATTCTGGAAACTGGGAATGGGAAACAGAAAACGAAAAATTAATGGACAACATAAAAAATGTACCCGACATAGTCTCCTGAAAACAGTTGGTTAAAATTACTTGAAGTATTGAAAAGTTATAAAGTTTTCTTTTGTCATGTAACTTTTAACAAAAATAAATAACGATTAGTTTTACAGTTACTGACAACGATTATAAAAGGCATTTTTTTTTTTAACAATATGACTAAGATTTTTGTACAAAACCTAGACAATAAAAAACTATATTAAAAGGAAAAAATTGTTTTATTTAAAAATCAACAAAATATAAGTAAAACAAATTTGATAAGTGCATTTCATTCACACTAGTTCTTAAGCAAAAAGGTGAGAAAGGTGATATTAACTTTGAAAAAATAGGTTATTTTCCGATTGTTTTTTATTTTTAAGTTAATGTCGGCTGAATTAACCGAAAACAATTCAACTATTCACATCACAAAAAATACATACAGGATTTTGTTTTAACTAAAAATACATTTTTAAATATAACGTAATTATCTAAAGTCCCAAAAAATCATTAATGTTATTCATTTTCCAGTACATTTATTTGTTAAAAATGTTTAAAGATGGTGTTTTAACGCTTCTTATGTCTGTATCAAGCTGCGTAGTTTAGCCGCTAGATGGCGTTAAAATTAGCAAATATTTAAATTAGAAGAATTCAACACATAAACAACAAAATAACAAGAATCTGAAACGAACGAGATTCATTTTGTTTCTTGAAATTAGAAAATTCTCAACATCGTTTCGGTTTTAACTAACAAAAAAATTGAATTTTTGATAATTAAACCAGATTTGTTATCAAAAGAAAAAAGCGTATTGGTTGATTTACGAAACAACCAAAAATGACATTTCTGGCCCTTCTGTGTTATAATTTTTCAAGGCAATTTGTCCCATTTATCCTCATCCAACCTCGGGAATATTGCGACACCAGATAAAAACGGTGGAAAGTACCCTCAAACGTTTGTAACCGTTCTTTTGTGGTTCAGCTTGTGGTACTTCAAACTCTTCTTATACTTCGTCTCAAAATCGCAGGCGTCACATCGATACATTTCAACCTGCGACGCGTCTTTGTGCTTCAACTGATGCAGGGTGAAGTTCCTCTTGTACATCGACTCGTACTCACATACTTCGCACCGGTACAGCGGCACCTGGGAACGGTCCCTATGCTTCAACACGTGAAACTTGATGTTACCCCTGTGCTTAGTCTCGAAATCGCAGTCGTTACACCTGTACGTCTGCACCTGCGAAGCGTCTTTGTGCGTCAACTCGTGTCGAATCAGATTCTTCTTGTACTTCGACTGGTAATCGCAAACGTTGNACCCCTGTGCTTAGTCTCGAAATCGCAGTCGTTACACCTGTACGTCTGCACCTGCGAAGCGTCTTTGTGCGTCAACTCGTGTCGAATCAGATTCTTCTTGTACTTCGACTGGTAATCGCAAACGTTGCACCTGTTCATGGGCACCTGCGAGCAATCCTTATGTTTAAGGGCGTGTCGTGCGAGGTAATGCTTTTGTTCGGTTTTATAGTCGCAGTCCTCGCAAACGTACGTTTGGACGGCCGAAGGGTTCTCGTGCTTCAACTGGTGGCTTTTGAAGTTAGATTTGTAGCTGGTTTCGTACTCGCACAAGGTACAAGTGTACTTTCGTGCTCCGGAAGGATTGTCGTGCACCAACCGATGCGTTGTGAGGTTGTACTTCGTCCTGGTTTCGTACTCGCAGTCGGTACATTTATACGTTGGTACTTCTGAGGAGTCCTTGTGCCTGGAACGGTGACGGTAAATACCGGATCTGTACTTTGTTTGGAAATCGCAATTGTCACACTTGTACAATATCGCCTCGGATGTACTTTTGTGCTTTGCCTGGTGCTGAGTGAGGTTCATTTTGTACTTCGATTCGTAGCTACACAGATTGCACTTGAACATCCGAACATCTTTATTCGTCTGCGGTAATTTGCTATTTTCGGTTTCATACTCGCATGGTCCGCATTTGTGCGGTTTGTAAAAGTTTTCGTGTGGCGCCAGAAAATGGATATTGCTTTCAGTTTCATAATTACATTTGTCACACTCGTTCGATACTTCAGTTGATGCGAGCGATTCTCTGATTGATCCACTCTCATCATGATTACATCCCCCCTCTTGTGCATGTTTAAAGTCGTTCTCAAACATTGCATTATTCGAACGACCCGGTAGTCCATCGCTGAAAAAAAAATTGTATAAGCCCGGTGGTTCTATCTAAAACACTTGAATTAATATAAAAATAATTCTTTCCTACCATCTGCCTTCATATTCTGATTTCACGTCGACAAATTCAGTTTTGAATGTTGTCCCCGCCTTGTCAATTTTGGATTCTTCGTCTAGCATTTCAATCTTAATTAACAAATCAGGTGGCAGCGCCTCTGTTTGACGCTTTGTGACAGGACTGTCACAAATTGTTTCCTCTACCGCTAAGCAGTCTTTAAGGAAAGTGTTGTGAGCGCACAGAGAATCGAAGCAGGGTTTACATACAACGGGATCTTTGACGGTGGTGACATTCTACAATATATGACTTAAAATGTAACTGCAAAAAAATGGAAATATCGTTCATACCATTTCCGGAACGAATATTTTAATAGCTTCGAGTTCCTCGTCACGAATACATCTGAATTCACTTTCTACTAGCTCCATACACAGACGACATATTTGTTGATCGCAAGAAATATCGATTAAGCGTTCGCTGCCTTTTTCTTTCATATAAACTTCTCTCAAGTCGAGCTGTAACAATTTCTCGCGGTCCACATACGGAACAATTGCGTTATCGGTATTCCAACATATCGACTTAAATCCCAATGCCGCATTTAATTTTCTTCTACATGCGTTGCATATTACTTGTTCGCTCTCGCTATTGAATTTCTGAAATAGGAGCAGAACAAGGTTACAATGTAGAGAAAATTTAAATTAATTACACTGTTAAGGTGGCTAAAAGTCGCTTTATAGTAACGTGGTTAGATATTTGAGTTTAAATACAGGGTGTTCCTAAATAAGTGTCGCAACGGAAACCTGTATATTTCTCTAGAAAAGAGAAAAATTTTTTTCCTCTTCCATTTTTCTCTCCGGGCTTTCGTTTTCGAGATACACGGTGTCAAAATTTTTTTTCAGATTTTTGCCAATATCTTAGGAACCGTTAGAACTACAGGACTGACCTTTTGTACACACATTACCACTATTAATAGCTACTTGTTGCAAATGTTGTTGAATTTCGTTAAACTTGTTAATTATTACTATCTATTTTTTGAATTACAAAAGATTTTCGAAACGTTAGCAAAATGTTTGTTTTTGTTCATAAAAAGTAATTTTTCTTGAAAACGGTTGACTTTAGAGCAATGAACCAAGAGAACTCT